GTGCTAGATGTTCTAACCCATTAACCCCATCAGTTTTCACACGTTTGCTTGCTCAGTGGAAATCAAGCATCTCATTTTGCCTCCAGCTTCCGTAACGGATATTGCCTGCCGGTCACTTGGGCTTCATTCCTGTGGAGATGGTCAAACCTAATGAGGACAAGAAGCTAATGAATCTGGACCAGGCAGAGGAATGAGAACTTCCAATGGCAAATCCGTGAAAGCAAAAGCAAGAAACACAAGAGTCAGGAATAAGGTTGGCAAGAGAGTCATCTTGACTAAGATGAAACTCCATGGCTACACTTGGAGAGCTGCACCTGAACTGGATCACTCATCAAAAGCGTGAAGTCCACTCCAGTTTGTGCAATTAAGACTGTGACAGAAGTAAAAATGATTTTCCTATTAGAGGGATTTGATAGAGGGTAAAAACTCCAGAAATTATTGCTTGGTAGAGCCAGGTCCAGACCAGCTGAAAGGTCACACAACTCTGAACTTGGGATAAATGCAACAGAGAAACAGAGGCATAACTCCTTCTACTCTAACACAGTCCTGTAGAACACCATGAAGAAAATATTGCAGATGTATGACCTAAAGTAGCTCATTTTAAAGTGAGAGCTTCAGACAATGCAATATCAACCCTCCCATCAAATCAAAACTATGTTTAATCCAGCAGGACTAAGAGACATCAGGTATTTTGCAGGAGGCAGAATCCACTTCATAGCAGAGACCACTTGGAAGCTCTTCATTTTATATCCGTTGAACTGGGATGGTTCCTTCAAAGCAAAGTCGCTGCAGAGCCAACCTGTTATTGATTCTGGATGGCCCCGAGTTCAGGATTTCTGCTCCATACGGGCCTGTGCATTTTGTGCAGGGGAGAATCCTGACTGTAAAGCACAATTTAAGTTTTACAAATGTTTAAAATAAACAAAATTCAACGTCATGCACAATCCATGTCAATGCATGTCCCTAGGGGACGGAAGCATTGTGGCATTCAAGTGAAACACTGAGCTCCTCTCAGGTTATCTCTGTGGAAGGCAGAGGACACTACGGAATAGAAGGGAGTTTAGGGTTTTTTTTCCACCACATGAAATATTCCTTATCTTTCTGATATTTAAGAATTCTGTGATGGCTTCTCTATGGAGCTTAATCCATCTACTGATGTTCTCAACCACCCTGTGATCACCCATTCTGGAATAATCCCTATTTCCTTCAATATATCTGGCCTCTCCTGGGAAATTTATATCTGATTCTGGCATCTGTTCCCCATCCTCTTTTGTGAACACTGAGGCGAAAAATCCATTTATTTTTTAGCAGTGTCTACATCATCTGTCAATAAATTACCCTTTCCATCTCTAAGAGGTCCTAAAATCTACTTTACTGACCTCCTCTTCTTTATGCACTGCAATAATCTTTCATGATTATTTATCTTAACCTCATGTACAGTCTTCCCTTTCTTCCTCTCTCTTTGCTTTCAGATTATTGTTTTTTAACATTCAACCTCATTCCAGACATTCTCTGAGCAGCACTTGATGTTTTACATCTTATATACTCGCCTTCCTTTCTTAGGATTACATTTTGTCCATGTGTGTTCATCTTTACTAGGCTGTTAGTTTATTTTTCAGCACAATATCTTTATTCGTAGCGTAAGTGTGTAGAATTTATCTGTGACATTTATATTTCAGTAGGTACCAGCTCCTTTCTACGTTGTTTCTCTACATAGCATCACCTGCCCATTCCTGGGGTTTTGCTAGTAGAAATGAAGAACACCTAAAAGCCGATTATAGCCAAATTTTATGGTTGCCTGCAAACTTCTTCATGTAATGGCTCCTAAAATACACTCTCTCTTCAGATTTTCCATTATCTTCTGGGTGTTGCTCCACATACCTTGGGAGATTTGTATTTGCAGCCAATTGCAAACTCCAGGCCAAAATTGTCTTTGGAAGCCATCAGATGGTTTTGCAACTTGCATGAAGTGTAAAATTTAGGAAGGAAAAAATATATTCCTGGAAGGTATGTTTGGAAGAACAAAATTTGTTGGCTACCTGAACCAGAATCTGGAATCTTTCAATTCCAGTGAAATACCAAAGTGAAAAAATATATGTCATAGGAAGGGTGTGAATGTTTTGAAATAGGTATCCTAATTAAAAGGTATTTAATCAACATAATTTTAAAATACTATTGACTAAATGCTTGCTGGACTATTCACATAGTTTTTTCAACCAAAAACTAATCAAAACATTGCTTTCACCAGATGCTTTACAAATATATATATAATACCACTCTCCTTCCTAATTTCTTCTTTATGTTCTTCTTATCCTCTTAATATTCAGTCAGCATGTTTTGTCCCCAGAATATCTTTCCATATCAGTTCTCATCCTATATATTTTTAGAGCTGTTGACTATGTCCAGGTCCACCATCACATAGTAAAAGTTGGCAGAAGAAAGAAATGGATCGGAGCACTCTGATTTTACTTAAAAAGAAATATAGCCTAATTAAAGTCCTGATGGTTCCTGTTAAATGCATGCTCCGTATCGTTTTATTTCACCGGGTACAAGGATCAAAGCATGGACCTGCTCCACCACAGCCTTCTACGGTGTGAGAACTGGTGCTGCCCTTAATCTATCCCACATGGCAAGACGCATCTATGGGCACGAGAGGGACCCCCCTCTCCCATCCTTTCCATGATTTTCATGGAAACGGTTCGCTCTTTGATTTGGGATTTTCTACTCACCCAACTAAACGTGCAGACTTGTTTAAGAACAAAACGCAACGGAATGTAAACTTCCCTGGAAACTATGTAGTACAAAATAATATTTCAATTCTTTGCTCGGTAGGCAGACATTAATTGCCACGGTCTACAGTTTCTATTTATACCTCTGCTGCTCGTTCCCCAAATAAATGGAAATGTCCTTGTAATTTCTTCCCTTCAAGACCGTGTGAGAGGCCAGGGTTGAGCACTGACATCCAGGATCCCAACCGGCATCGCGCAGGAGAGGGACTGGCAAATGACAACACGGGTTGGCAAAAAAATTCTAGATTTGGGGGAAAATAAAATCAACAGGTGGATCTTGGTGGATTCAGGTGATATTTGAAAACCCTGCCTGAGATCAACCAGTAATCTCAGCAGATCTCCATGAGGAAAACACCAAGGCTGAGGGGCCTGGCTTCCCCTTGGAAGCTGCACGCCAAAAAACACCTGGAATAAAACGGGAGCTTGGGGTTTCCGCCTCTTAAGCCCTTTCTTGGTTGTTTCGGCTGCTATATTCAGATTTATGTTGTTGCAGCTCATCTCAGTTAATGTTATGGATAGCCAGCCAGCCACAGATTTTGATGGAAAACAGTTCTGCTTGTCATTCTCAAAACTTCACCTTTGACTGATATTTTAAAAAACCGCCACATTCCTTTTGCTATGTCACGCGCGACTTTCTTTTGCAAATGTCATAAAGTCCCGTCTTCATTTGTATCCCAGCTCCAGAAGAGGCCGGTTGCCTCTGGTAACCGCTGATGGATTTTGGGAACGCCATGGTGCCATCGTCACCTTTGGTGACGCCAGTCTCCAACTGGAGCTTGTGGACAGGGAATTTTTGCTGTTTCCCTCATTGCTCCTCAAGCCCCTGCAGCTGCGAAGCCACCTGAGATAACAGCCGTGGTGTGAACAGGGATTAATGGCCGGGACAGGCCCGGCGCTAAGAGGGGATCTGCCAGGGCGAAACGCGATCTCGTCTTAGGAAACGCTGAAATCATTGCTGCAGAAGGTTAAGAAAACAGCGAGCGGGCTGAGTCAGACGCGCCGCATGGAAAGTTGCACCCCGAGCGCTCACGGTTTCGCCGCGCGGCGCAGGCCGAGCCCTCGGCGCACATTCCGCCTCTGCTGGAATCCCGCCTGGATTAGGGACCCCGCTTTTCCCAGCATCGACCCTAAAATCAGGACTAAGACCACTAGAAAGCAAGAGCCACCACAGCGGGGTCGCTCCACGCGGGAGCAGGGACGTCCCGGCTGCTCCTCGGGATGCGGGAGCTTCCTCAGGCGCCTCCCGCTCGGAGCCGCGCTGGGAAGACAAGGCCGCGATCCCGAACGCGCCGCCCCCGTGCCTCGTGCCTGCGAAACGGGCGATATCCAGCACACAGCTCCCTGCTTGAAGCGTTCACGATAATAATGAAGACGGGTAGGAGATATCAATCAACATCAAAACTATGGCGCTCCAAAGCTATAAATCCAGAGGGAACAGGCAGCCCCAAGTACGCAGCAGCTCCGTCCCAGCCAACAGGTCTACCCAGGCAAAGTCACCATGGACTGGGGACGCCCCGGCCCTTGGCACGGGCGGCACCCAGGTTTATTTGCAACCCCAGGACACCGGGAGACTTCCATGGGCCAAAGCTGCAGCCCCAGGAGGACCCGGGAGGTCCCGGGCTGCCCAGGGGCACCCACAGAGGTGTGTGAGCTCCAACAGCTCCCGGATATCTCCCGGCACAAGGAAACGCGGCGTATCGAGGGACAAGCGCTCGCCAAGCGCGCTGGCGGCGGCGGGCGCGATCTTGGCCGGGCGCGAGCATTACTAATGCTTTTGCATCATGTATTTACTTGAAGCAGAGCTCGTTTATCAGCCCTAATTAAAGAGCGTAGCCGTCACTCGCTCCAGGAACGCTCACGGCCCCTCTGCACGCAGGCACTGCGGGCCAGGTGGCTGCTGAGGAGCCAAGGGGCTATCGGGGGCTTGTTCCATGTGGGCAACCTTGGCGAGCGCCCAACCACGGGCTCCCCACGCAGGTCTGCACCTCCAGCCACCCGTTTCCACCCCAAAGACCCTTTTCAGACCACACCACCAACGGGAGAGGATGCACGGAGACGTAGGAGGAGAAATGGGCTTTGCCAAAAGCAGGGCCACCTTTTGCAGCAAAGATCCCCCTTTCTACCCCAAACGTTGCCTTGTACACACACGCACACCCCGGAGCGCCCGGGGACCGGCCCGCGTCCCGCGAGGAAGGAAAGGCAGTTCCTTACTTTGTACTCGGGAATTGACAAAAGGAGGAGAGAGATTGTCGTGAGAGCCAAGGTCTCTGCTCGCCACGTGGTCATAGTGCGTCCCGTCGCCATAGTTCTGTTGACAAACGGGGAGAAACACAGCGTTTACAAGGGTGACCCGCGGCGCCCGCTCTGCCCGGCGTCGCTCCGGCCTCCTGCTCCGGCTCCCAAGGCCATTCCCAGCCTTTATCCCCTTTGCCGTGGTGATGGGGATAATCCGGGCATGGAAACGGGTTTTGTGTCGTGCAGTTCCGTGAAAAACCTCCCTTTAACCTTGCTATTAACATCAGGAAAAACAGGAGGGAAACACTTGTGCATGTTGGCTTTTACCCCTGGTTTGCAGGCATCAATTTGCTGAATCACCTCGTCGATACATCCGGGGATTCACCAAATTTTCAGATTTGTTTCATGCCGTTTGGGTGTGGAAAGTTACTCTTCCTTGTAAAATAAGCCTCTATGGCACTCGTATTTATGCATGCAATTGGGTGAGCCACTAATGAATATCTCCTGCCCCTTTTGGCCCTGGAGGTGGCATTTTGTCCCCTCTCCTGGCAGGACTTTGCTGCTCCCTAATTTTCGACTGTCATTCAGTCTCAAGATTAGCAAAGCCTTCAATTTCCCTGCAGCAGTTCCATAGTGTTTTCTTTCTTCTGCCCAGAAGAATTCACAAGAAACTCATTCTCCCGCCGTGGAAATTCCAGCGTCATTCCACAAAGCAGGAAATGCGGAGAGGTCAAGCCGCTCGCGGAGCGACCGCGCCGGTTAATGCGCGGGCTTGATTAAAACTTCAGGGCTCTTCCTGGGCTCGTGCTCCTTCCTTTATGCCCCAAAACGCAATTGTACGCTCACATTCAGGCTTTTGCATGCATAAATAATGGTGTGTGCAAATTTCGAATTTCCCTTTTCAAAACATTTTTCCCCGGGAAGCAATACAAGTTGTCAAGCCCGAAAAAAAGGGGGACAAATGAAAAGGGGAAAAGCGGGAAGGAATGAATGAACGGATGCAAAGCGGGAGGGCTCCGGAGCACCGGGAGCGGGGAAACCTCCTGGGATCTCCTCATAGGGACCTGCCGGGCACGGGCCTGGGGCTGCGTCCTCCCCGGTAATTAACAAACAATTAAAAGGCAATTTAAGGCAGCTCTGAAGCCCCGAGCAGCCAAATGGGTACGGAGCACCCAGCTCCCTGCCCGCGGGGCCGAGCGGGTGCCAGAGCCACCGGATCGGGCTTGAGCGTCCAAATAAATAAATAAACACATAAAATAAAATAAGAAGTGATTCTGAAGGGAGGGCGGGCTGCAGCATGGCCGTTTTTGTATGCAATCAGGTATAAAAGTCGTGTTTCAGATTGCAAATTTACATATGCAGGAAGTCTGGTTTGGGGAAAAAGATTAGATATACTTACCCTGGATGGACTAGGATGTCCTGTATTCCCCCAGGACCCTGAGCTAGTTCTGTCTTCTACATCTAGGGACAAAAAAGTTCTTTAGGCTTTATTGCAATCATTCTTTCCTTTTGTATAGGCACTTTTAAATTAATGTTTCAAATTAATCTCCTGTTGCCTTTAATTAAGAATCAGGCACGGGGCTACTCCGACGGTAGCGGCTTCTGACCCCCTGCTTAAATGAACTCATTTAAATGCACAGCAGAAACGAACCGGACCCTCAGGAACCCGAGCTTTAACCGCAACGATTCCCGCAGCGGCTCCGGGAGCACCGGCGTTTTGGGGGATTCCAGGGATTCTTTCCCGACTCGGACCCGCGGCATCAGGGAAATGCGGCTCCTGATCACTGTTTGCCATGAGAGCGGTGACAACCTCAAGGAATGAGAACGGGTGCCCAAGCGAGCGGTACTGGCGCCGACACGAGCGGTACCGGCGCCGACGCGAGCGGTACCGGTGCGGGCGCTCGCTGCCCACGGGCCTCCATAACGGATGACCGTGTTAACAGCACCAGGCGCCCGCAGGTAAATATTTAATTAAGCCCCAGAAAACGTGGCTCGTTTACCTGACGGATCGGATCGAGCGTTCTATTAGGTTAATTGGGCGTATTTTTAAAAATCCTTGCTGTTATGTAACAGGGAATTCGCTCCGCTCGCCCCAAGCCTGAGTCACGCAACAACCCCTTGCCCCTGCATGGGCTGACACGTTGCTTTGGGGAAAACGTGCTGATTTGCCCATATTGCAAATTTTTTAGCAGTTTCCAACAGCTCTGAATGCTCCTTGCGCTCCCCTTTGGGCTGTCCCGACCCTACGTGATGCTGAAGTTCTGAAGCCCCAAGAAGTTTCTGCTGGTAAAATGAAAAGCAATGACTCTTGTACCTTATCTTCGGGGGTCGTGTCTTAGCTTTCGCCCAATTTTCTTTGTATTTAGCCTTAAATGTGCAAACTACACTATATTACTCTGCAAAACATCAATGAGAAGGCTTAATTAAGTAACACTGACAGATAAATCCATTTCTTTCGCAGTAATCAAATCAAAGCAGGTTGACATAACACAGGAACTTAATACAGTTATTCCCTTGTAATTGGAAAAAGGCCCTTTACTTCTCATTAAAGCAATCTTCTGGGTATTGGCATAATAAGAAGGCTCAGGGCTTTAATACTGCCCTATAAAAGCCCCGAGATACAGCCCCCGTAAGCAAACATGCCAGATTATCTAATTCCTTGATCACGGTGGAACATGTAGTTATTGTTTTAAACTACTAATTCTTTATCTCGGCTGCAGTCGAAAAGGAGGAACTGGGGCTAAAACACCCATCGTGGGGCTCCATAAAAACGCAAGCTCTAGCTGGGAAGAGAGATGAATTCCTTAAACAAACCTGCTTCTTTAGCTGGGAAATTGAGAGCGTACCAAGCTGGGAATTATTCTTAGGCATAAGCAGGTAGAAAGAGTAGTAAAATATAATTTGATCGCCTCGGGAATTTGTCGAAAAAGCTTCTTGCCTGTATTTTCAGAGGGAAATCCCATCTCGAGGAGCAGCGCAAGGAGTTGGGAGGTGAAATGAAGAGCATAAAAAGCTGGGAAAAATCCTGGACTCTAACGCCAATGATCATACCTAGAAAACGCTGATGAGCAGATATTTGGGGCCTGCCGTTATGATTAATTAGCAATTAGCTGCAAAACCCAAGCAAAATTCAAATATGGGGAAAATAAAGCCAATTCCGTGCACAAATAGGTGGCAGGCGGCTGGGCCGGAGCAGACCACCCGGCAGCTGGGCCCTGGACCTCGCTGGCCACCACGTGGCTGCTCCATTCCCAATATTTATGTTTCTTGGAAACAGCAAGATTAGCGAGGAATGTGGAACTGGAAAAAGCGGAGGAAAAAAAGAAAAAAAACCAAACCGAAACGCACACATAACCAAAAAGGAGCCCCCACCAAAAGGCCTGGGCAAACCTGCCACCCTTGTCCACGGACCCCCTTCCTGGGACTTAATGTCACCCTGAGTCACCAAACCGGGTTTTCTTCGAGCGGGAAAACCATCCTTTCTCCAGCCGAAAGCCGGGACAGGGACACGAGCGGGAGAAACCCGCTTCCCTCTCCTGCTGCGACCCAGCAGCATGTTCCCCTCTGAACCCTCATTTAACCCTGCAAAGCGATCGCACTTGTGGAAGCCAGCTCTTTGCAATGGCTGTGTTTAATATTCCGTTGCGGGCCCTCTTTAAAGGCACCGGGTATTAATGCACTTATCCAGCGCACGCAGGTGACGGTGACAGCCGACTCGGCTCCGCGGTGTCTCCTCGCTCCTTCTGCATTGTAATAGGGAAGCTCAAAAAAAAGAGGCACGACACCTGCCTGAAAGCCGAATTAATTCATTACGCTCGGCGGCGAGCGCAAATTAACTCGTCAGCGCCGAGAGCGAGGCAGGGATGGCGGGTCCCGCGCGTCCCCCTGTCCCCCCGTGTCCCCAAATGCCACCAATTGGGCTGCCTTCACCAGGAAGGCGTGGAGTTGCTTGCTCCAAAGTGCGGGATTCCATGAGCTTTGCCCCTGCTCGCTGTTGTTTTTCCAGGATATCCATGAAGTTCCTCTGCTCGCGGCATGGTCCCTGCTACTCCAATACTGCTACTTTGATAAAAGTCATTTTCCCTGGAAGAGGGTGAAAAACGAGGGACCGTCTCAATGAAGAGAGACAAGCATCACCAAGCAGCTGTGAGAAGGGTTTTTTGATTTGCTTTTAACCAAAATCACCATTTCTTCCATTATATACAGTGCTAGTGTCCCCAAATAAAACTTATTTTTTTTAACTGGTGACATATGACTCTAAACCTTCTTTTTGTACCCTAAGCAAAGGCAAAAACGCTAGAGTCTGAATATTAAATACTGCCGAAAGTGTCGTGAAGCCAGTATATTTTCTCAATTTATTCAAGGTTTCTCTTTAAAAAAAAAAACAACAAAAATCGCTCTAAATTTTCAGCTCTAGTGGCAAAAGGTTTATTGGTCTTTGTACTTCATTAAAGGTTTTTTATAAAGTCATGTTTGTTCTTTTGAGTGGCAAATGCAACTACCGAAAAGGGCAGGTTGGTTTTCAAAAGGCGCAGATATGACCTAAAGGGAACACGTTTCACTGTAGCGAAATAAACTGAGGAAACAGGCTGCAGATTAAAAGCCCCTTAAAAGGAAGCATCATCTCTGGAAAAAAAAAATAAAGAAAAAAAAGAAAAAACCCTTTTGCTGAGGAAAACAGCTGGAAACAGGAAGCTTTTGTGCTTTCATCCTGCCCGCTTTGATTCTGCCGCATCCCCCTATCATGAAAAGGCACCGGGAGCCGTGTGAGCTGCATCGCCTGGTGTGGCACCTTCCAAACCTCCTCTTGGGCGTGCGGGCAGCATTTCCTTACTCTTTCCAAGCAGCTCACGGAGCACATCCTTCTCGTGCCGCTTTTTAACGCTTCGCCTTTCGCGAGCGCTTCCGAGCTCTGCACGCCGCTGCGCGAGGAAGCAAGAGGTAGGTGCGCGAGGAGCGCCGAGCTCCCGTTCGAAAGTCCCCATTAATGGAATTAATCATGTTTACACAACTTCCTGCTGGTAAACTTATTTCATACCCTCCTATCTTTCATCCGAGCTGTTTCCCCTACCAAGGAAAGAACAAAACCTCCCCCGAGGGCCTGGGATCCACTCGGTTGCGAGCAGTAAACGCTCTCTCCTGCTGTCTCTTCCTTCGTTTCGGCTCCTCGAGCTGCTGTGCCAAAGGCTCCCGTGACCTTGTGCCTGCCTAACCCGCAGAGGTGCTCTACATATTGACATATATACGCTATATAAGCACGTTCTATATATATACGCAAGGAAATGTTGCCGTTCATGGATCGTTACGGTTCCTACAGCAGCCCACACCATGGTGATGCCAATGGGCAGCATAGCAGCGTTTGCTCACAAATAATTTCCTGCAAGGAGAATTTTCCAACTTTTTGCAACACGAAAGGACCTGTGGTTTGAGTTCTGCTGTTGGCCCATCTACCAGTGAGCCTTATATATGCTTAAATAAGCGAGGAACACACAAATGCAAAGCATACCCAACACGCACACACAGATTAAAATAAATCCCAGGGATAACAAAATATAATTTTACATACGTTGCATAACAAGCCTACTTTGTGAGTGCTGAGTTTTCAGTATTCTCCCCTAAGAACGAGCAATTATGAAGGTGAAGAAAGGTAATGGCTTTAAAGCAACATGCTAATCCCAATATTAGTGCCTTGGAAAAGGAAAACTGCCAGGAGCTTGGAGTAATGCCCAGCTATCTGTCTTACCTTCAGTAATAAACCTGCACCGTAAACACGAGCGAGAGAGTTAGCGCTCGCTTTAACTCGATTCGGTTTGGGTTTTACTCCGCTTTGCAACGCTGCTCTAAAGATGCTCCGTGGTGTTACAGCCTTGTGTAGCTGTAGCGACTGCCCCGTGAACAGCTCTAGCTACACACGTACACATATTTCTAATACATTTTCCACCTCTTCTCCAAGCAGGGAATGTCCTGGCACCCTGCCGTGCTCCAGGAAGGACCTGGGAAGGGGAGCCGGAGCAGAACACGCTCCTGCTGAGCACGGGCAACCTCGGCACAGGAGAGTCGGCATTGTGGGGATGCAACCGGAGGATGCTTTGGAAAAAGGGAAGGGCTTTGGCAAAGCCACAGAGAGCCAGGACCGCTCAATGACGGGTAGGATGCGCGTTACGGAGCTTAAGAACCGCAGGAGCCGTGGGATGCCGGGACGGCAGCCGCTCTGCACACTGGACACCCGGATCCCAGCACTAAGTTCCGCTGGGAAAAATCTGTTGGGATTTGACACTTCATCTGGAGAACGTCACTGACCTAGGCTAGAGAACACCGGCAATGCCCAGAGGGCAGCCGGCTGCTTGGAGGAGACGTTGACCATGCAAAACTGGAATCCCTGGGGAATGGGAAGGGGCGCCCGGAGGGTCTCCTTCCTTTGCCCAAACACCTGCAGGCTTGGACAGGAATTTCACACCGCCAGCCCTGACATATAGTGCCACTCCCACCACAACACTGGACCTACTAATGTCACGTCCACCACAACGTTGGATCTACTAGTGACATTTCCACGACAACATAGGATCTACTAGTGACACTTCCACCACAACACCGGGGCTACTAATGTCACTTCCACCATAACATTGTGTCTACTACTGAGACTTCCACCACAACACTGGGCCTATTAATGTCATGTCCACCACAACGTTGGATCTACTAGTGACGCTTCCACCACAGCACTGAGCCTGCTAAAGTCGATTCCACCACAATGTTGGATCTACTAGTGACACTTCTACCACAACACTGCGCCTACTAATGTCACTTCCACCACAACGTTGGATCTACTAGTGACACTTCCATCAGAACTCTGAGCCTACTATTTTCACTTCCACCACAACACTGGGTCTACTAGTGAAACTTCCACCACAACATTGGA